ACAAACAGTGATGCCTGCATATGTTAACATTTTAACAGCTAGCCGTATGATTCCCAATGACCTCCCGACAATCAGCCACTAATCAAAACATGCTCAAACAGTACCTGTAAGGCGTCATAGTGAGGAGCCTCCTGACAATGTCAACATGCTAAGACGAGCTAACATTCCCCGCTCTGTTCAAGGGGCCAGGGCAGAGTTATGTACGAACAGGGGTTGCTCTTCCTAATGTATTCTGCCATAAAGACCAGTGTGGGGCCACCAGGCAAGTGAGACGAATAGCAATGACTGTATGGGCTGGCAGATAGGAGGAGACCCAGACAAACAGCAACTTTTAATTATGTATTTGTGGAAATGGAATTACCCGTCCAAGACTAACTTGTTAAATCCATACGACCAGAACATTCCCATCTGAAACAGTGTTTTTAACCTTTTCTCTGTTTGTTTTTCCATCTGGCTAGTTTTTGTATTATTGCAGACTTCATTTCTAAACTGCAAATCCCCAGATTTTTTTCCTTCCAATTTAGTTTTTGTTTGCTCATGGCCTTTTGTCTCTGTCTGTCCCTTGAGGTTTCTCTCCAACACTTCCTTCACCGGGGCTACGGGCCTGATCCAAGTGGATGCTGCCCTTTCTCGTGTCCTCTCCTCTCAGCTGTTCCACGTGTGGAGTCTGAAAAGAGGTGCTCTGGGCCAACCGGCATGGGTTACTGTAGGACAGTGGACGAGAGGCAGACTCGAGCTGGAGGGAGGTATCCTAGGACTGGTGGGAGTGTTCAGGAGCAGCCAAGGACAAGGTCTTGGGGCTGGGGTGAGGGGAGGCGACGGCCTGGGGGAAAGTAACATTGGTGGACGCTGGAGGCCAGGACTTTCCATTGAGGGCCACCGCCTGAGGGTGGTGACACTGGTGGAACACCCGTTTGTCTTCACGCGGGAGGTGGATGCGGATGGACTGTGTCCAGCTGGTCAGCTTTGTTTGGACCCAAGAACCAACCGGTCAGACATAATCCATGGCCTCTTCAACCAGCTGCACAACCCAAACACTACAACTGCAGACTGGGAGGGCATTGGTGAGTTTTGGTTTGATATTTACTGTGAAGTAGTGGTATTCCATAGAACTCCTGTAATACTTGTCAAAAACAATAACTTGTTGGAGTATATGCACAAAATTGTTGGGTAGAAACTCTTAGACCTCATTTCTGTCAATGGCCAGATCTCAGTGTTACTTTCATTTGCAGTTTGCTGCTCCTCCTCGAGACTGAGGTGGATATTAGAAGTAAAATCAATAAGGGATGATGGCTGATCAGTCCACTTCAAACATATACCAGGTTCAATGTCAAGGGCTCAGCTCTGCAGCTGCATCTTCGTTTCATGAATGAAGAGGATAAAAGGAGTTAAATCAATAAGAGATCAAGATTACAGTTTCAAAGAAATGCCAGATAAAATGCTGTATCTCTGACTAATGAGACTACTGGGCAACTATACACAGCCAACTGTATAACAGTAAACTATAGGGCATCCTAATGTTATTAGACTTAAATTACAGATACAAATGACTCAAGAAACAAATAGAAATCGACATTTTGTTGAGAATTATGCCGGAACTGAGGAAAGTAATTTTCTCTATATATTTTTCTATGTATAAAACACATAGGGATGTTGTTCCCTTTAGTATTCTACAATAATTGTGAAATATCTGATCACAAAATTCTATATGCTGTTGTTTGAGTAGATATTAGTGCCGAGCGTACTGCTGAATTTTGATAAACTGAGTTTGCAAAGAAGGTTGGCCAAAATAAAAAAGGGCAAAAATTGCAAAAAGAGTAAACATTGATTTTTTTACAGCATCTTCATCTTGCTTACACCACTTTTTTTTCCAAAGGTTGTTGCTTTTTTCCAGCTCAGGATTTAATGGGCCTGGATGGATGGATGGTCATTAAAACCACACAAGCTGAGGTGTTGTGTAAGGATGCATCAACATTTGCCATGATCCGTAGTAAACAGTTGTGGCGGAAGTCTCAGAAGTGCAACCCCAGCACTTTCAAAGCATGGTTAGAGAATCCGAATAGAAACATTTCACATCATCATCACTTATTCCCCTCTTAGAACTACCGGAGGACCTCAGGAAGTGCTGCTATGGGTACTGCATCGACTTGTTAGAAAAACTGGCAGAAGACATGGGTTTCACCTTTGACCTCTATATTGTGGGAGACGGGAAGTATGGGGCACTGAGCGGGACTGGACGCTGGACGGGGCTGGTCGGGGACCTGCTGGGCGGAGCCGCTGACATGGCCGTCACCTCTTTTTCCATCAATTCCGCCAGGAGTAGAGTCATCGATTTCACTTCGCCCTTCTACTCCACCAGCCTGGGCATTCTGGTACAATTGCTTAAAGTCATCATTAGTTTCATTGAGTTTTGTATTTTAGTGACACAGGGCACGTCCTGAAAACACACTGCATCGTGAGCCAGTGGCTGCAATGCAGTCTTCAATGTTACTTTGATTTGTCAGGCTCGCTCTGTGGCTGACACAGTTTCAGTACGACTTCAGTGTGGTCCGCAACTACTTAATTTTGCTCTTATGCCCCTCACCCGGTCCTCTGGTGAGAAACAGAAGATCATTAGTTAGGGAATAATTAGTTCACTCACATTTCAGTGGCCATGTAAAGTTCAAAATGAGAGCAGAGGCAGCTTAAGGGTGTATAATGAGTTTGTGAGGCATCTGGAGAAGGCATTTTAATAGTCCTCAAACATGCTGCAGTTATTTTTTGATTTGTTAACATCTCCCTCTGTGGCTGACAAAATACAATGTGTAATATAATCTGACAATACAGTTCAAACTGAAAATGAGAACTCCATTTCAAAAAGTGATTTCTTGTCCTTACAAAATGATGAAGAGCACAAAATAAAAACAGTGCATTCAATTTTTTTAAAGTAATTACGCCTAGGAGTGTTCGCACAACGTTTATTGACAAGATGCTACAGACTGGAGGCTGAATTATCACAGTTTTGCACAAAACACAATATATGTCACCTGTGCAGACAGCAATAAACTATATCAAGCCAGTTTCTTACACAGTGTTGTATTTATGACCTACCAGGTTCGTAGCCGGGACACTGCAGCTCCCATTGGTGCCTTCATGTGGCCTCTACACTGGTCCATGTGGGTGGGCATCTTTGTCACGCTGCATCTCACCGCGTTCTTCCTCACCTTGTACGAGTGGAACAGCCCCTTTGGCATGACACCCCATGGCAGGAATAGGCTGCACGTGTTCTCTTACTCCTCTGCCCTCAATCTCTGCTACGCTATACTGTTTGGACGTGCTGTCGCCACCAAGGTAAAGTAGCTCTCCTGTTTGTGATAAATGGGCATCACGCGGGGGCAGGGAATACAAATGGCAGAAAAAGGGGAGGAGGGGATGCGCATTATATGAACGAGTGCACAAACAGTGAGGGCAAGTTGAAAGAAGAGTTTAGAGAGGAAATGGGCATGGAGAGAGTTGATGGTGATGACCAGGCAGGAGGAAAGATGGATAGGGGAGAGGTTAAAAAGGTAGGCAGTGATGAAGTGGAGCGGGACAAGGAGGATAGTGTACATACAAGTGGGAGAGGGGAGAGGGTAAGTGGGCCGACAGAGATTGAAGGCGTTATGGTGAGGATGATGGGGATGGATAAAGGGGGGAAAAAGGGGGAGGGAGTAAATTCAAAGTCACACAATCAGACATACAGTTGAAAACAAGCTGGCAGGTAGAATAGGCCAACCAGGGGTAGGAGAGTGCAAATCAAGAAATGAGCTTCAAAAAGAAGGTAATAGAGTGGCTGACAAAAAGATTGTGAGATAAGGTTGAAAGGGTAAGTGGATAAGCAGAGAAGAGAAAAGCAGCAGAATGAGATGGTCCTGCAGGTGAGCACACAGAGGATGATGTAAAGTGGAGAGGGCAAGTAGATTTGCAAAGTTGGAGCATCTAGCAACAAAGGTTAGTGTGAGGGAGAAATGTGATGGCTGGAGGAAAATGTAAGCAAATCAGTCTATTAATAAATGCAGTATGTCCCAACAAATAAAAAACAATCTCTTTTCCTTCAGAGATAAAAGCCTCATCTTATTTTCACATCATTTGTTTGGTATAAATATGTTAAGATAATGAATGTATCTTTGCAGAAACAGCCCCTATCAGAGCCCTGTCAGGTTTGACTAATCATGTTGCACCGACAGTCACACTGCTGCACATACCCAACCACAATCCAGATAATAAACTATCCTCTACAATCTTTGGTTTTTAAACAGCAACATTCTGTGCTAAAGTCCATCATTATAACTTATGCTGGCTCCTCAAATTTCCATTCATCAGAGACATCAATTGCTTAGATTATTCCTGTCTATCCCGCACCATTTAGTGAGCGTGCACGCCATCATCATTTTCCTTTAAATGCACAATCACACTATGTCCCCGAAGGAAGCAGTGCAAATGACTCGGATGGAACTGAGGCTAAGTGATTAGACAGACCCACCTATAACTGAAAGGTCACAGATTTGATCCTTGCACCTGGCAGTGTGTCAATTAACAGGTTGTGTTCATTAGCAGCCTTGTGACCTGTTAAAATGTCCTTGAGCAACATTCTGAACCAATCATGGTTATTTAGGCTGTGGGGAAGACAAACGGGAAGTAAACAGATTGGCAAATCTTTATTGTAGAGTTCTGTTTTAATGAGATTTTTGCAATTTTAAGGCTTTAAAACAAATAAGACAAATGGAAACCCTGTTTTGATTTCCTTTTTAGAACTCGCACTTAGCACTTAGCACATCCGCTGTGTAGTATTTCCCAGTGTATTTGTTTTTTTCCAGTAAAAAGCAAAAGCCTACTGTCATAGTGCTACAGTAGCTAGAGAGTAGGTTGCACGTTAACCACCACACACTAGTACTCATAACTCCATCCCTCTATTATGTATTCTGCTCATCCTGTAGACGGTCGTGGGGAACAACTCCAGTTCTATTACTTGTTCCTTCACGTTGACAGAATGGAGTTGTTCTCGATATCTAAATCACTGCACCACTCTCTGATCCACAGACTGATTCATTTTATAATATTTCAGTTTTCAGTTTCACCACCAGGGTTACAGATCCAGACTGTCAAACAGAAAGTCAGACATTCCAAAGTTCTTTATATTAAGGGAATATTTTACTTTACTATGTTGAGAATGTGAGTGCATAGAGAGGTTTTCAAGAAGTACCCTAAACAAACTCTATTCTTAATTTATCTATGTTGGGGGGGCTTCCTGTACATACACTGGCTCCTCAGTCAGTTGGTATGCATAATGAAATGACTGCAGTCAGAGCTGAGTGACAGAACTGGGTCAGTTGGTGTAGACCTTCGCTGGCTGTCAATATTAGGAAAACTAAAGTGAGCTAAAAACAGAAACAATTAGTGCAGGAATCCTTTGCTGTATAAATATAAATTAAAATGAGCTCTGTGGAAAAAGTTTTCAAAATGAGGGAAGTTTGTCTAGAATGGCTTTTAATAAAAATATACCAATGATACATAGAGAGAGAGGCCACTCTGAGTGCAAAACGCAGTGATGGGTGAATGTATACCAAGTCGGCTTCATCAGGAGCTGGTGTGAAGGTGGGAGCAGCAAGCACCTCCCTGGCTTCTAGAGAGAAGCAAGACAAAACCCATCTTCACAAAGTCTTTTACATGCTGCTAAGAGCCATTCATCAAGCTTATCATACTGAACTAGCTCTACAATGAACAGCGGTGCTTCTTTGTGTCTATGACTTCCACGTGTATCATCAACTGTGAGGACGCGAACTCTGTGCCTGGGAAATGCAGCTTCAGCCTCATTATTTGAGCACGCTTTCATGTTAGAAGCCAAACACAAGAACCCTTTTACAGGATTCTCATTTTAAAACCAGTCAGCCAGAAACAGCAAAAAGACAGCCAGACACTTTCAGCATTTTCAACCAACTTATGCAGCTGATGTTGGCTTAATTAACTACCTATCTACTGCTAATATAATTTGCCGGCAACAGCTACCATTTCAGCTGGCAAATTTGAATTTGACAGGATAGAAATTAAACTCCTGCTGTTGTCCACTTCTATCTGAAATCATGAACTCTTTTTTTTTTTTTTTTGTCACAAACTGACTTGCCACCTCTAAGTCTAACTCTCTTATAAAGAGCTTGGCAGGTTGAACAACAGCAGCTGTATGTTGTCCTCCTTTTCTCCCCTTTCAAATTCATCAGCTAATTAGGCTAAACATGGAAAACATCCCAAACACCTTCACAAGAATGGGTTACAACCTTGTTTGTGTAATTAATGTCTCATTAATCTTAAACCTTTAAAACACCAGAAAATCATCTCCTTTCTTCTGCTAAGTGGAGTTTAATTGGCTGAATAAATAAATGATCAGTGTTCAAGTGGAAGAGGTGGTTTTGTGGTTTGTTGTGATTAACGTCATTACCCTTAGTCAATGGGTTAAACTGGGACCCTGTAGGACAGCGAGGAAGAGGCTGGGAGCCTCGCACCATTTGTCACATACTGTATCTGTATTTCAGTTTTAAAACAGGCCCTTATTTTTCATATGTTCATAATTAGTTATTTTGTTGCCGTATGTTTTTTGTTGGTTTGTTTTGACTTTTTTCTGTTTTGGGCTTGGATATTTTCAGATTCCTTCATCATGAAAATCTGCTCTTACGATCCTTTTGTTTGTTTAATGTTTTTTTTTTTTATATATGCTAATAATTAGACAAAAACAAAACACAGCCAAATTAGAAAAAAAGCCTCTCTCGGCATCCACTCTGCAGACTCCTAAATGCTGGACAGGACGCTTCCTGATGAACCTTTGGGCGATCTTCTGCTTACTGGTGCTGTCCAGCTATACTGCTAAACTTGCTGCAGTCATGGTCGGGGAAAAGACCTTTGAGCAGGTCTCGGGAATCCATGACGACAAGGTCAGACTCTGCACAAGGACACAAACGTACAACTGCGTGCATGCCAGCATCCCAGACACACAAAAACTAATCTTAGACAAGGATAAGCTTATGAGTTGAGAGTGTAATTATTTGTGAAGGATTATTGCTTTCCTTATCCCTAAACCTTGTGGGAAGTTCAGGGTTACAGTGAATTTTATGAGCCCCATCATCATATCTACCCTCTTCTGCTCAAGCCTCCCTGTGTCACTTCCCCAGCTGCAACATCCCTCCCTGGGTTTTCGTTTTGGCACGGTGAGGGAGAGCAGCGCTGAGGATTACATGAAGAAGAGTTTCCCGGAGATGCACAACTACATGAGACGCTTCAACCAGCCCACCACCCCAGAAGGTGTACATATGTTAAAGTAAGACACAAACACACACACATGCACCATGTCGTTTATAAAAAGACCTGATTTACAACTGTCACTAAAACACAATGCGGCCCTGAACAAATCCAGTCATGGTTAAATGATGTATTCTGTGCACTTAGTTTTTATGCGCACTGTGCATAACAATTCAGTATTGTCAAGTAGAACAAACACTTCAGATTTACAGCCATCAGAGGCCATTTGAATACAGGCCCATGTGTATAATTCACAATGATTCCTTGAACAGAAATCACATGTGCTGTTCTTCTAATATCCTACTGTTTAATTTTGAATTTTAAGATGGACATCAAAAAGTTAGTATTGTACATTTTATTTTATCATGTAGAGACAAATCCTGGAGTCGGTTCCATAGACAGTGACTAATGGAACAACTCCTGTGCGTCTTCTGAATCACCAGCTGTTCAGCCTACATTCAGATTTGGATCTAATATCAGTCATAACCTCTGCATGCCATTCATTAATATTTCACCGTCTGTGTACCAAATCCAAAAATGTGCCACCTGATGACATCTTCTGTGCAAATCAAGGATGCTCTGATTTTCTAGATTAGAGAGACTGTTGTTTATGTGCATCTGTATTCACTTACTGTAAATCTGTTCTGCTTTAGGGTTGATTTCTGCTTTGATTTGTTCTTTGTTTTCTTTCACCTGCAGTGATGTTGTGTCCAACTCATAGGTGGACATTTTCTATTATAGTAAAGATGTTCTGTGCTTTTGCACCTGACAGAGGTAGAGTCAGTTACTCATCACTTTTTGAGCTGTGTATATTTACACCCTGCAAATAAAAGGAGCTTTTCCCTCTCCAGAGATTTTACATTTTAGCACAAGGTGTAAGTGAGGTGAAGCATATGAACACATTTGAAACTGATTTGGAGAAGTTAGAATCATTTTTTTATTAGCAAAGTCTTCACCTTTTAAATGTAGGATTGGCAATCCTGGAAAAAACAAAAAAGGAAGACAACCAAAGAAATCCCACCCATTCCTTCTGACTTCTCTCCAAAGCTGCTCCTCCAAAACACATGAACGCACAGCGCCTGACTACTTACCAAAGGAAAATAACAAATGTCCCCCCAAACAAAACTAAACCGATAATTACCTGTCCAACAGAAATACGGCCAGCATGATGTTACTTTTCAGCCCCTTTTGTTCGCTCAGTTGTTGCCGTTATTCAAAGGCCACACCAGTGTTAATTCTGGTCGTACTTGCAGCATCCAACTTCTTTTTGGTCGTAACTTTCTCGAATTCCGTCTCCATTTGCGCCTGAAAGCTGCTGTGGGTACCTGGATTTTTTTTCTTTATTTGATATACTCATTGGGATGAAAAGAAGAATTCAAGAAATGTAACAAAAAAATGCTTCTTCTCTTTTTTTTGGATGACGCATTGAATGTAGGAATGAGCGAGGGTCAGGGACAGGGTGATGTAACGAGGGCCGAGAACAAAGCTGGACTGGATGTTGAATGGTGAGAGTGAGCAGATAAAAGCAAAGAGGCAAAGCAAGTTTATTCTTTAAACCACATTTAATGCATAAAGGTAATTGAACGTGCAATATATAACGCATTAAAAATAAAGGAGATTTACTGCAAGGCATTAACACACAAATTTAAGAGATTTGAAGAATTTTAAAAGACATAAATATTGTACAGTGTAGTTCAGCATGACAGTGAGTGGTTAAGGTTCAGTCAAAGGGAGTGGAGAAAATAAAGGTTTCTCACCAAATACTTGAAAATGAAGTAAGTATCATGTAGTGGAAGTATATCCCAGCTACATGGAGCATAGTAACTAAATGCTGCTTCTTTGCTGTGGGGGGTAACAGACTTGTACACTGGTATGTTGTGTTTCATACGTGATCCTGGTTTTGATCATATTGTGGGTTTGATGCTTACGGGGAATGTGTACCTGGTTTTTCATCTCCCTGTAACAGTCAGGTGAAGTCATGTTCTTAGCTCCACATCTCGGTGACTGAGTCGCCTCAGCAGACGAGGATGAACAGAGATTGTTTCCGGCTGCCTGAACTCAGCTGCCTGTCATGGTTTGCTGGGATCATCTTCTTCCTCTCATCACCAGTAACAGAAAACGGCTGCAACGGTGCATTTACCTTTCGCATTATTGGTGTCAGATTTTCAATTACATTGGTGCATGTGGATTGTCATTACATTCTTTATGAATGTTTAAATTTAATAATATATCAAGTTATGGAGCCGTGATCAGAAACCTGGATGAGGTGCTCACGTGCCACAGTGTGTCCCAGTTTCTGTCAGCGTGCACCAGCTGGGATATGTGGGTTTTTCAAAACCGCTATAAGGGCTTATCCAGGTTTGGGAAACCAGGATTTAGAGACGTAAACACCAGGATACTCCAAAAGAACAATCATAACTTTGTAACCAGAGTCTATTAATGCACTCACTGATGTGGCATCTCATGACCTGTCGCACTGAGAAAAAGACGGGGTTAGGCAATATTTGGTCCACAGTTTCCTAATGATTCTAATAATTTCTTGAAAGTTTCCTGGAAAGAGCCATATAGTTTGTATTAATTATAGAAAAACAAAAATGTTTGTTGGTTTTTTAGTTAATCCATTGAGTTGTGTTGAATTATTATTGGCTTCCAGATGAGTTTCCATGAACAAAATTGCTCAGTTTAAACCCCAGTTCATGTTTATTGTTTATTTATTAATTATTTGAAATGGTATTCTTCATTTATGCTGAATCGGATGTTTGTGAACAAATTTAACATTTGCATGCGTAGTTCTGTCCTCTGAAGGAAGCCTGAAGTGTGTACTAGCTTAGCATTTGGAAATAACTAGAAGTGCACAACTGATCACTCTCTACTTATACCTGTAATTACACAAATGAGTACATAGGAAGGTTTTCAAGAAGAAAAAACATCATAGGAAATGATTTAGAAATAAACTGGAGACCTGTAAAATAGTGTTACCCAATATTTTAACACTTTGTTACAAGTAAAAACTTGCAATGACAGTTGAAATAAAATGAAAATATGTACTGTATTATTTACAAATTACTTGAAAAGTAAAAGCACATAATGCTGAAAAAGGCCCTTGTGAGTGTGATGCTATTGTATATTATTGGATTATTATTGATGCATGCATTTATATTTAACAGGCTGTTTTATATTTGTATCCATTACATTTGTATCCATACTTTAATTTCTAACAATGCATCATATTTTATAAGCTGTGAAAGAACTACAGCTTCAAGTAGATAAAATTGTCAAATGTAGTAGAATAAAAAGTTCAAAATTCCCTGTAGTGGAGTAGAGGTATAAAGTATCGTCAAAACGGAACAGCTCTAGTAAAGCTGAAGTACTTAAATATGTATTTTGCTGGAGTAAACCTAGTTTGTTACCTACTTACATTCATCACTGGCATCAGGCATGCTACATGAATGGCAAAAATAAACATGGCTTACCCAAGACGCACTGTAGCACACAAATACACAGCTATAACCACATACAGCGCATGTTTCAGACACAATGCCTAGTCCACAGAGCACCAGCAGAGTTGCTGAGATAGTACGTGTGCTGACTTTGTGATACCAGTGGGAAGATACAAAGTGCTTGTTCAGAGAAAGAGGATGAGACCAGGGGAGATGAAGGCAGTGTTGTCTGCGTGCAAGGCGAAGCAGAAGTGAAAGTCACAGCAAATGCACAGAACTGGAGTGAGGCAGTAAAACACTGTACTGGCAGAACTAGTGACCCCAAAACTGCACTCAAATCTTAGTTAGACATATATTTGCTCCTCAGTTTAGGTAGCTCATTCTCTCTCTGGCAGCTGCATACAGATGTATAGGCTCACAGGACATAATGCATGCTCAAGCACTTAACTACTTGCAGTCATACCTGCACACTACACAGACACACACCACTCCTATTCCCAGGCTATTTCTTATATAACTTCCTACCCTCTTTAGTCCCAGTAGAAGACTCTATCCTCTCCCTTCTCCCCATGCCTCATATTTGATAGGTGTAAGAAAAACAGACTTTCCTGTTTTGCCAGCACAGCAAAGACTTTGTAAAGTCAACCTTTAGTTTAGCAGTAGATGTCCTGAATAACAACAAGATGCAGGTAATTTAATCAGTCTGGCCTGGTTTTCCCATTAGACTCACTGTGTCTGTGTGTGTGCTTTTTCCTATACAAGTGTTTATGCTCGTTTATCCTTCTGCTATTTAAATCTGGTGTATCTGTAATTGTGAGATGATGTGTAGATTTAGATGTCTGGACATGATGGTCAACAAAATGTGTATCTTTTCTACTTTATCAGTGTTTGAATGTTGGGATATTTTCAAATCCAGTATGTTGTGCTTCAGATCAGAAACACACCTCCTGCTTGCTGTGCTCAGCAGCAGAGGCTGGGCGCAGACGAGCGGTCTGTAATTAGGGGTCAATTAGGGTCAACTGGATCAATATAGCCAGAGTAGGAAAGTCTTCAGCAGTGTATATAATGCCTTATCAGTCCACCACAGATGCTGTTAGTTTAGGTAATGATGTATGTGTTTACACAATGTATTAGAATGCAGTTAATCTCATTCTCTGTACAAATGACAAGGTGGGATGACAGCCCCAGACACAGGGTTTCTACACAGGTTTGGGGATTCTGAAAAAGTTTGAGAAAGCAAATTTGATTTACAGATCTTTACAAGTTGGAGGTTTTGTCTTGAATTAATGCTTCTCTCTTACTTTTGTGGTGTGTGTGTTTGTGTGCATGTGTGTGTGTTGGTGGTGAAGGACAGATCCTCCTACCCTGGACGCATTCATCATGGACAAAGCCCTGTTGGACTTTGAGGTCTCTATTGACGCAGAGTGCAAACTGCTAACAGTGGGGAAGCCTTTCGCTATAGAAGGTGCACACACACACAAAGACACTTTTGGGCCATTGTATTCCTTAGAGGTATTTTTAAAAAGCATATTAAAAACTCTCTTGGTTTCCTGATCTTGACATGTTTTGTGGTTTCATTTTGTACCCTTGTTTTTATATACTGTCAAGTCTATCCCCCCCCCCCCAAAGCACTTTGAAACACTCTTTGAAAAGTGCTGTATAAATCAAGTTTGCTTTTTTTGCTCACTGAGACTTTAACTATATTGTAGCTTGTCTAACATAAACACTTACACTCAACCCTAAAATCTTGTTTTAACATCGTAAAAGACAGTGACCTTGTGGGGCACGTTTTTGTTTATTTGTTTTTGTTTTGTGCCCAGATGTGGGGGCTCAAGTCACATGACTTGGACTTGAGCGATAAATGTGATGACTTTTGTCTGTGTGATAAAATCAGTGTAAAATGTAAAACAATGGCTTTGTCCCACCCACACTGTGAGTGTATGTATGAACAGATTTGTCCCTGTAATGTGATTAAGTACACACACATGTACACTCACACACTTATCTTATATTGTACCTGTGCAAACTTGACATATATTGTATGCGTCCACAGGCTGTATTTCATGCGACACAGGTGCACATATATCCACTGTGTACAACTTGAAGCATGCACATCTATACACACAAACACGTGCTCACACACGCATTTGTAAGGAGATCAAATGTTGTAGTTAGCTACACGATTGACAGAAAACCAGTGATTCACTGCATGAACTTATAATGCTGCAGGGTAAAAGTACTCAGTCATTTATTATTAACAGCGGTGCCCAGTCAGAACACTATGGACTTGACACTCACGGATCATACCAACTGCAACACAGTCATGAAGCACATACACAAATCCACTGCCAGTCAAAAAAGAATTTAATTTAAAAAATTAACTAAACAAAAAACTAAATGACTAATGATCCACACAGGGGATTATCATATTCCAGATTCTTATATATTGCTAGATGAGTGCATTTGTTCATGTGTGAGCACTGCTGGTTGTGTGCATCCTGGTGTGTTTAATGAGCATATGTTCTACTGCTGTTCGTAAAGGAAATTGATTTTCTATCAGACTTTCAGAGTAAGGCCCATGCTTCTTGTTCCATCTGAAAATCCTCATATTAACTATGGCAAGCCAGGAAAAAAACACAAAGTAAAGCCAGAAGGCTTGCAACAAACATTTTACACTGTTGTATGCTTCATGTTTAACAAAGTTGACTAGTCCACTGTTCACTCCATTGCTTGCCTCTCTTCATCCTCCTCCTTCTACACCTGTGTCAAAAACTATTAGAAAAATGAGATTAGTACAAAATTATTAACCATTTTCTACGCCGTTTATCCTGAAGAGGGGCGCAGGGGGGCTGGAATAAGTAAGTCAGTTTTATTTCATTCTGTTTTTCGGATGTTTTTGCTACAAGACTGATGACAGGAGTGTTCAAAATCTATATATATGTCTAGTGCTCCGTTTTGTGCACATAAACAAAGGGTCCAGCCATTACTGGAGGTTTTATGGTATTCCACTCACAGGCTGTCTACACGTATGCCTTTTGAAGGTGACTCTGAAGTTAAATTTCCACTGGCAGAGCACATTTATTGGATGGATCCAGTATTTAACCTGTAACTCAACTCAGCATAGTTTGTAGCAGCTTTCAAAGAATTATAGCGTGTGCTGCTGCCTGCCCACTGATGTACATTTATGTACATGTATATACAGTGTGTGCGTGTGTGTGTATATATCTATATATACATGCACCTTGTGTTTGTTCCAGTTCAGTTTTGTATTTCCTCCTCCCAGCTCTGAGACACACAGGTGTACAGAGAGTCGATAGATATTCGTAAGGCTGCCACATGGGACCAAACACTAGCTTTGATACCATTTTTCTGTCAGTCAAAGTATAGCCTCAGAAAGACCCCACTCCCATATTCCCTATTCACTGCACACCTCTCTTTGATTATTTACTGCTTTCTTTAGTGCATAAGACAAAACAAGACAGACTTTACAGTGACATTGCTCATGATTGTGAGGATGAGAAGGCAGGTCTCATTGGTATGTAAGGTGGGTCAGTTTGATGCTTGATTCATTATCTACATGAAAAGGCAAGCGAAGAATCCACACTGCCCTTGGTAGCTGTTCCACATTTTATGTATGTGTGGACCAATGGGATGGGAGTGACTGACTTAATCATTCTGAACGGTTGAGGAAGAAAGAGCAGGAAATGGGCCAGACAGGAAATGTGAGAGACGAGAAACACAGGAAAGAGGAGATTGGAAGGATAAAAAGAGAAAGCAGAATATGAGATGAAAAAAGTAAGCATGAACAACAAAGGGAGGGCCGGTGGGAGGGGGGGTGAGAGAGGTGTGAGTCGAGCAGAAGAAAGAGATAGAGGGCTTTCATTTGCCCACTGCCAGTTTGTGCCTTTCTGCACAGCGAGTGATAAAAGAGCCAGCCAACAGAGTCCCCTAATCAAGACAAACCTTCACCCCAAACAGATGGAGTGAGGGGGGTTGAAATGACAGGGAAAG